GTTGGCACCGCGGTTCATTGGGCCATACCCTATTGTCAAGGTGATCAGTCCGGTGACGGTCCGGCTTCGGCTTCCACAACCCTTTCACCGTGTTCACCCTGTCTTCCATGTCTCCTGCATCAAGCCTTTTATTCGTTCCTCTGTTTTCCCCTCTACCGCTTTCTCTCCCCCTCCCCTGGTTGAGGGCACTCCTGCCTTCATTGTCAGGAAGATCCTTGATAGCAGGCAGTGGGGAAGGGGATTCCAGTACTTGGTTGATTGGGAGGGGTACGATCCGGAGGAGAGATATTGGGTCCCGACCCAGGACATCCTGGACCGCTCGCTAATTGATGATTTTCACCGATCTGCCGCTCAACCCAGGACGCCTCAGGACTTGAGTTTGATCATTGCTCTTCTTCCTTTGTCTTTTGGTTATGTTTCCCTGTATATTTCCACAGCACCACAGCTGTGCTGAATTTGTAATCAGCGCTACTGAGCACCCCCTACTTTGATTTTTGTCCAATAAACACTGTTGGAACTGATCTGCTCTTGGGTTCTGTTTTTTTCGTCCAGTCGTTTCAATAGTAGTTTTTCTATTTGTCTCAGGGCTGCCTTGCTTTATTACAGAAGACCGAAAGTCATGTGTGTAATGATTGCAGTCAGCTTGAATGGCATTGGTTTTACAATATTAGGTTGACTAAAAAAGGAAAATCACATTACTACAGTGATATTTTTTCTTCTAGACCTAATAAACTGTCTACTCTAGTCAAATAAGAAATGTAACACAAAACAGTAAACTACAATCAAATCTATGTATATATCGAATCGAAATTTGATAAGTGATGCATGAAGGACTAGGGCCAAAATGAATTTCCCAAAATGATTACTATTCACCAAAATAGTACAATAGAGTAAAAACGATTATTTTGCCATGTTCTGTTTAGCAAGAACACTCTTATTTTGTCTTGTGTTCTGAATGACACGTGCACATCCGCCCCTCCCGAAGCCATAAACTCTCTCAGCTTGAATATTTAAACTGATAAGACTTAAAAAGTAGTGAAAATGATCAACTTTAGTTATGATGCAATGCTGGCCCGATTGTGCAAGTGACAATTCCGTCATGTCCCGACTCCTAAAAGCGAGAATATAGTTTCGACGTGTGCCTTGTCTAATTTTGAGAGACCATTTGCCATTTTGAGAGACACAGAGAGAGAAGACGCAGCACCGCTGAACACTCACGCGGTTTGTGAAATTGTGTCTTGGAGAAAGATTTAAAATGATTGATTTGATTTTATAATCTGTGTGGATTAATTTAGGCTACTCATACAATCTACATGCTAAAGTGAATCAATGTTTGCGGGGGAATTTCCCGCATTATAGGTGGTAGACCTGCGTGAATTATTAAATACTCAATTGAAGTATTATCTGTTATATTATTTATTTTAATAGTTAAAGTACAATAAATGTTCAAATTTAGATGTTTTAAGAATTGTTGAAATAAATCTTTTTAATAAATGCAACACGTTCCCAAAGTCGTGTGAAATGATTGTGATTTCAATACTGACCAAAATAATCGTGATTATGATTTTTTTCCATAATCGAGCAGCCCTATGAAGGACCATTCTTTTCAAGCAAGAGCAGGCTTACATGACTCACACGTCACACCATTACTGCTCTCAGTTTAGCATCGTAACATAAGGAGCTGTTTTGTGCTATAGCCTGCAATGTAGCCCAATATCTCCACCTTATTTTTCATGAAAGAGCAGGCGCAGCCATAACTTGAATGCGTTTGGCTTCCAGTGTCATTCACTTCCAGTTATTTTACCTATACAAAAACAGTCCGTTATGCTGCTTTATATCGCAAACTTTTATTTGTTGTTATATTATTTTATATTAATAATTTCCTATAGCGGCTAATGAATCCGAAGTCTCACACATTCTAAGAAAATAGCTTACTTCCACGTTGCAAAATAAGGTGGGAAAAGTCTTAGTGAGATTTTCGTTGTTTCAGTCAAAAATTAATTCCGGTGCATCACCACAAGTATGAATTGCATTTTTAAATTAATAGAAAGGAGAGAAAAATAAATTTGTGTCATGTCAATGACCCAAAAACCATTAGAATTAATAAGAAGTTTCGGTTCCCTAACAGCTTCCACACCTCTGAGAAGGTTTTCTGCTAGATGTTGGATCGTGGCTGTGAGGATTTACTCTCATTTGCTCCCAAGCTCGCCTATAAGCATTTGAGCTTTGGACAAGATAAATGCATACAGTGTACTGCTAGAACTCACAAACCATAAAGTTGTGGAAAGTGTTATACTGTAATTCTTTATAAATATCACACACTCACAGTACAAAGACTTTCTGATGATTTTAAATTACTGAGGTTCTGAGGATGTTTTTTTCTTTCACCTTTACCTCCCTCTGTATTTCTATCGGCCTCATAGGAACTGCATTCATAAATGTCTAATGAGAGAGCGGGGATCCTGTTTTGCAACAGCGTTTGACAACACACCTACTCGGACGTATCGGACTAAGCCTACCTTCGAACAGCTCAGCAGGAGGACACTGCTCTGCCAGGATTGGGTGCCAAGATGTGCCTCCAACTAAATACTGACACAGACATGACTAAAAGATTAACCATAAGCAGGCTACAGGGGTGCTGATGCTAGCAGGCATAAATCAGAGATAACAGATCACACATGCGGGTGTGAGACAGAACTAGGGGAGACCAGAAAAGTGCACATCAAAAGAAGACCAAAGTAGACGATAATAGTTCAAAGGTGCTACACCAGAAGACGTAACCAATGGAGCCCAGCAAGGCAGCATTTATTTGATCAAACATACAGTGAAATATTTTTAAACATTATTACAATTCAAAATAACTGTTTTCTATTTTAAAATATAATTATTTTTTTATTACATATTTATTTTAAATATAATTATTAAAATGTAATTTATTCCTGTGATTACTCCAGTCTTCAGTGTCACATGATTCCTCAGAAATCATTATAATATGCAGATTTGCTGCTCAATAAACATTTCTTATTATTATCAATGTTGAAAACAGATTTTGATGCTTAATATTTTTTTGTGGAAACTGTGATACTGATACACTACAATTCAAAAGTTAGGTGACAGTAAAAGACATTCATAATATTATATTATCAAAAATATATATAAAATCCTGAAATATTTATCGTGATTTCCACAAAAATATCCATATATTCTATATAAAATAAGTGTTTTTTTAACATTCATAATAATAATAATAATAATAGCCATTATTACTAATCGAGTAAAATTCGATTTAGCACCCCAAAAATGTGAGCAAAACTTTTTATATTTATAGATCAGCTGTTAATCGAGACCTAGAGTATACAACATTTAAATGGCACTGGTATTCAGCTTCTATTTTTTTTTTTTTTTTACTTTAATAATGACAAAAAATACCTTATGCTGAAGCCTGTATCAATGGCAGAAACCATAGCACGGGATTGTTGTGATTTATTGATTTACAGTTCAATCACAGACTTCATTTAAACCAGGGGTTCTCAAACTTTTTAGGGCCCTGGACCCCTTATAAGGTAGAAAATCTTCCAAGAAACCCTCATAATTAGCCTATAATTTTATGTCTATAATTTGGCTAAAGTTAATGGGAGTAATGAATTTTCGTAAATGGTATCCCCATTTGTAAATATGTACTTTTTTAATAATAAAGCACAATTTTAGGCTATTTCCCCTCACTCCACAGAAAATCCTTTACATTTAATGGTTAAACGAGAAAAAATATCATAATATAACATCTCGTTATAATGACATAATTGAGTGGTAAAAAATAATATGTAAGTGGCAACAATGCGCCACTGTACAAAACAAAGTAAATAATATCTGAAATAAAATGTAAAAAACGTATTTTATTACAGCTAGATGCTAAGGCAACATTCTCGTTTTTGTACAAGTTTTGTACATTTTGTAAAATAACTTAACTAAAACTTAAATAAACAAACTAAAACTAATAAATAAATAATAAAAACTAGCACCGTTTGCAGCACTGTTCAAAAGTCTGGGATGTGATTTTTTGATGTCTTTGAAAGAACTCTCTTATGCTCACCAAGGCTGCATTTATTTGACCACAAATGAACATATTAATAAACATAAAACAAAAATAAAATATTGTAAAATATTATTAGAATTATTTAGCAACTGAAATCTTAGTATCTGTTTTCAATTTTACTATATTTTAAAATGTAATTTACTCCTGTGATGGCAAAGCTCAATTTTCAGCATCATTACTCCAGTCTTCAGTGTTAATGTCCTTCAGAAATCATTCTGATATGCTGATTTGGAGCTCAAGACATTTCTTATTATTTTCAATGATGATTATAAGTGTAACATTTCAACAAACAAAATGTAATTGTAATTAGCGCAGACAGGGGGCAGCACTCGTGGACCTTTCCACCGTCCCCCTCTCTCGCTCTCTCTCCTACTTCGCTTCCTGTCTACATACAGATCTTACTGACCCTAAACATTTGAATGGTAGTGTACAAATATTTTTCCTTATGACAAAAATTCCACATTTTTTTCTAGCGAGTCAAGTATCTTTAACTGTGATTTCTTTACATTAAAGTCAAACCTTATTCTTACAGTGTTTCTCCTTTAGCATAAACCAAACTCTGAATGACATTTATATCTACACACAAATCTTCCATACTCATACACTGTACATTGATACACCCGTTCAGAGAGGAACTCATCAATCTCATGAGTGAGTGGGTGGTCACTGCTGTGCTCCTCGCCGGATTGAGTTAGAGGATGCTGAAATGTATGCCGGGCAGCCCAAGGCCTCCAGCTTTATGAGGAACAATCCTCCACTTCCACTCAAGTGGCAAAAACACCATTACTGCTCTCCACCAGGGAACAAATGATGGCGCGAAAGGAGTACAATACCATTGTGTGTGTGAGCAAGTAGACGGCGAGGGTTTGTCATGCAGCCGTCAGCTACAATGAGGCCGACTGCTTACCTGCTCATACTTTGTTGCCTTCTGGGTATCGTTGAACAACCGGAGATTCAGACGTGCTTTCTCCTGCAGAACATGCTGAAGCTCACTCTCCTGTCAACACACAAACAAAACACAAACAGAAAGGTTAGAATCTCAGTTGTGTGGTACAAATGTTCAAGTGTGATTGTGCCTAGCAGAAATATTCACAGGCACACACTGATAAACACACGTTTAGACGGCAGGGTGTATTCCTGGTAAGAACAGAGAGTTTCCAACACAGCTGGTGTTGGTCAATGCATTATTCATCTTGGGGAGAGCAAGACAGGGAGAGAATGAGAGAAGACAGTAAGAGAGAGACGCTGCGGCCCATCTGTCTTAGAAAGACTGACACTGAGGGTTTGGACTAAAGAGATCAGTAGTCAACAGAAATCATGCAGTCTCCACACAACACACCTAGAATAGAGAGTCTATCACTAAACCTGCATGGCCTAAGGGACATCAGAAAAAAAGAAAAGTTGTTTCAGAGGAAGAGGAAATTATTACATTTTGATGCAATATTATCACGATTCTGTGGAATTACACAAACCTATAAACTGTTCATGGACTTTAATATAATTTTAAATAATTTTATCTTTGTAATTTATTTCGTTTTTATAAATGTGCTGATTCTTTTTAAAATTTTACTCTGCACTATTGTTGTAAATGAAATGAAATTATTAACAGTCAAAAGTTTGGAGTCAGTAATTCTTTTAAAGAAATTAATATTTTTATTCAGCAAGGATTTATTAAATTGATCAAAAGTGAAAGTAAATACTTTTATATTGCTACAAAAATTATATTTCAAATAAATTCTATTTTAAACTGTATTCGTCAAAGGATCCTGAAAAAAAATGTAGAACTGTTTTGACATCATATTTGCATATTAGAATAACTTCCAAAGGATCATGTGAAACTGAGGACTAGAGTAATGAAAGATCTGCTTTGCCACTACAGAAATTATTTACATTTTAAAATATGTTAAAATATAAAACAGTTATTTTAAATTACAATACTACTTTTATTCATGTAGTTTTTTAATCAAAGAAATCCAGTCTTGGTGAGCATAAGAGACTTCTTTCAAAAACATAAAAAAAACCTCTTACTGACCCAAAAGTTTTGAACAGTAATTTGATTTTGATTTGTTTTATTTATTACACTACCTTTATTTTACTATATTTCAAATATTGTTCACTGTACATACAATACAAATGTATGTACTGTTCTTGTCGTACCAACGAAGCACACTAAACTGAAATTAAAATATAATTGAGAGAGACAGACAGAGAGAGAAAGTGAGAAGTACAATTAAGTAATGTTGATGAGGCATTACTCAGGGAAAAGACAAGAGAGGAGAGAAGCACTCAGCACATTAGACAGCATGCTGGTTTTATGACTGAATCATCTGTACACCTTTAAATAGCTCTATGTAATTAGGTTAACTTCTAAAATCATTGGTTTATCTTTAATGCTGCAGAGAATTTGCATACGCCCCCTAACCAAACCCTCATCCCACACAGTTTCCGATTCTCCCCTCACTGCAAGAGGAAAACTTAATTACACTCCAACATCTATGTGGTGCGACGCTAGTGTCGGTTACTCAAGTAATCTTCAAGCAAGAGCCACAAATATGAGTGTTCATGTATTCACTTGTGTGTGTGTGGCATCTGATATGCTGGGGCATTTAAGGAGCATGAAAATATTGTCTTCCTGTTTTCTTTCTACGGAAGAAAAATGTATTGCTCAGAGCTGTGATTCCCAAGCACATATCCTAGGAGAAAAATATTTGATTTTGTTGTTGTTGTTGTTGTTCTAAGTCTACAGAAAGAAAGACAAATACAGAAAAAAAAGAAAAAAGAAAAATCGGTAACACTTTACAATAAGTTTTAATTTGTTTACATAAGTTAACTACATTAGTTAACATAAACTAACAAAGAAAAATACTTCTAAAGCCTTTATTTAGTTAAAGCTAATGTAATAAATTACTAAAGTCTAAAGTTGTGTTTGTTAATGCATGGAAAACGGACATGAACATTTTATTTACTAACATTATCAAAGGTTAATAAATGCTGCAAAAATATATTGAGTTTGTATGGTTTTTCAGTAACAAGGTTTAATTTGTTAACATTAGTTAATGCATTAAATGAACTAACAACGAGTAAATATATTTTTACATCATTTTGTAGCGACTGGACTGATCAGACAAACAATTAATTGTTATATTTAATAAATCATCCACTTGGGAGTCGCAAGACTCCCCCTCAAGACAAGGAAAGGTCCAAGCAGGCTCCGAGACGTCTAGCCTCAATCGCTGTTTTTCCACTGTCGGGCCAGTGCAAGCTAGGGCTAACAACGTGCCGTGCGGGGCCAATAGCCTCGGACCTCAAGCACTGAGCCCAAAATCAAGTTGCGTTTCCACTGTCGGGCCAGTAGCCCAGCAGCGCTACGGTAAAACCCGCCCTTAACACACCTCCATAGAACGACGTCACACAACCTCACCATTTCACCAGTTTACTGAAAACTAGCTGGATCGCAAAATGGCATGACAGAAGTTAACGTTTGGTCTTTACTTAAAAGATCGATATTTGACCAATGTTTTACAATATACACTCACCTAAAGGATTATTAGGAACACCATACTAATACTGTGTTTGACCCCCTTTCGCCTTCAGAACTGCCTTAATTCTACGTGGCATTGATTCAACAAGGTGCTGAAAGCATTCTTTAGAAATGTTGGCCCATATTGATAGGATAGCATCTTACAGTTGATGGAGATTTGTGGGATGCACATCCAGGGCACGAAGCCCCCGTTCCACCACATCCCAAAGATGCTCTATTGGGTTGAGATCTGGTGACTGTGGGGGCCATTTTAGTACAGTGAACTCATTGTCATGTTCAAGAAACCAATTTGAAATGATTCGAGCTTTGTGACATGGTGCATTATCCTGCTGGAAGTAGCCATCAGAGGATGGGTACATGGTGGCCATAAAGGGATGGACATGGTCAGAAACAATGCTCAGGTAGGCCGTGGCATTTAAACGATGCCCAATTGGCACTAAGGGGCCTAAAGTGTGCCAAGAAAACATCCCCCACACCATTACACCACCACCACCAGCCTGCACAGTGGTAACAAGGCATGATGGATCCATGTTCTCATTCTGTTTACGCCAAATTCTGACTCTACCATCTGAATGTCTCAACAGAAATCGAGACTCATCAGACCAGGCAACATTTTTCCAGTCTTCAACTGTCCAATTTTGGTGAGCTCTTGCAAATTGTAGCCTGTTTTTCCTATTTGTAGTGGAGATGAGTGGTACCCGGTGGGGTCTTCTGCTGTTGTAGCCCATCCGCCTCAAGGTTGTGCGTGTTGTGGCTTCACAAATGCTTTGCTGCATACCTCGGTTGTAACGAGTGGTTATTTCAGTCAAAGTTGCTCTTCTATCAGCTTGAATCAGTCGGCCCATTCTCCTCTGACCTCTAGCATCAACAAGGCATTTTCGCCCACAGGACTGCCGCATACTGGATGTTTTTCCATTTTCACACCATTCTTTGTAAACCCTAGAAATGGTTGTGCATGAAAATCCCAGTAACTGAGCAGATTGTGAAATACTCAGACCGGCCCGTCTGGCACCAACAACCATGCCACGCTCAAAATTGCTTAAATCACCTTTCTTTCCCATTCTGACATTCAGTTTGGAGTTCAGGAGATTGTCTTGACCAGGACCACACCCCTAAATGCATTGAAGCAACTGCCATGTGATTGGTTGATTAGATAATTGCATTAATGAGAAATTGAACAGGTGTTCCTAATAATCCTTTAGGTGAGTGTATATTAATTTGTGTCATGAGTGCACACCAATCATGCTGAATCAATGTGAAAAAATGTGTTTATCATTTCACATATAAAGAGAACACATTCCTATTCAGTTGCACCTGCTTCCATTTATTTACTTTCACAGGAATGCACAAAAAAACTCTATTAAGGCTTTTAAGTCCAAAGGCGTACACATTTAGAAAAATATTGATAAAATATCATATGTTAACGAGCATTTATATTAATTTCTCGTGAAATTATGCAATGATTGCGATCTGAGAAGGTTTGAGCAATCTCTCCCATCTCACTCTATGGTCTCACTCTATAGGGGCTTTCGCACTCAAGGAACCTTTTTGTAGTTCCTAGAACAATTGGCGGAAGATCCCGGTTTTTGGCGTGTTCACACTGCAGGAACTAGTAACTATTTTAGTTCTAGGAACTCCTTTTGGAGGAACTCCTACTTCAGAGTAGGGTCTAACCCAGCCTAATAGGAATTATCCGTGACGTTAGTGTGTGCTGATTGGCCGAACGCAGACGAAACACCAGCACCCGCCATTTTTAATAGAAGCTGTGTAAACACACAGATTATAGCCTATATATTTAATCCACAAACTAATTCTACGAACATGGAAAACAGTGATAGATGGGCCTCTTAACCTTTTGCGCTAAGGAGAAAATCCAACGCAACTTTGAGGGGACCAAGCCAAACATGACTTATGTATTTCTGCTCAGCTAGCAACACTGGACATCAACCACATGGCATATGCTTATAACTTTTCATTACTGTCTACTTTCTATGTATAACAGTTCTATCTATTAACATATTAGACAGGACTGTTAGACAGATCGTAAACTAATGAACACGGAGAATGAGAGCACTGTGTGCTCAGGCTCTGGTGTTCTCAGCGCCGTCAAAACAAAGGACCGCCGCGCCGTCAAAATAAAAGTCACAACGACAAGTGCAGCTTACGTCACTTCAGAGTTCCTACTGGCGGTGTGAATGGAACCAGGAAAACGTTCCTATGGGAACCATTAGTTCTCGGGGGAACCATCATGGTGGCTAGTTCCTATAAATAAGTTATAAATAAGCTCATGAGAAGAAAACAGGAGTTATTAGTTATATGAGTTAACCGGAGTGTGTGACATATATGCGGATACATTAGTCCGAAATCAACAAAGGCACCGGAAGGGAAGAGACAGATAAAACATAAAATACACGTTTATAATCATATATGACTTGGCTTCTTCGAGCAGTCTCTGG